GCCTGGTCTACAGAGTGAGTTCCAGGACAGCCAGGGCTATACAGAGAAAGCCTGTCTTGAAAAACCAAAAAAAAAAAAAAAAAAAGAAAGAAAGAAAAGAAAATCAATAAACAATAGTCCTGATACCTACCTAAAACACTGAAAAAAAAAAATCATGTAACAGAGTTGGAGAGATGGCTCAGTAGTTAAGAGCACTCGTTTTTACAGAGGACCTGGAGTTGGTTCCCAGCACACACGTGGCTGTGGTTTGTAACTTGGTCCATGATGGCTGGTACCATGATGACCTCCAAGGGCAGCAGGCACACACTCAGTGCACACAGATGCAGGCTAAGTTCTCATGCACATAAAATAAAAATGAACAATTCTTTAAAAAAAATTTTTGTCCTGTTGTATTGTTTCCTACCGTTTTGTGACTATATCTAAGATATCTAACTTTAAATTTTTATTTGTACAGGTGTTTTACATGCATGCTGTCTGTGCCCCACATAGGAGCAGTGTCCACGGAGGCCAGAAGAGAACATGGGACCCCTGGGACTGGAGTTGCAAAAGTTGTGAGTCTTCTAGATGGTCCCTTAATCCTGAGCCATCCCTTCAGCCCCAACAACTCTTGCTTCTCCTGCACAGGACCTAGATTCAGTCTCCAGCATCCACATGGTGGCTTGCAACTGTTTGTAACTCCAGTTCTAGGGGATCCAGTACACTCTTCTTGCCTCCAAAAATACAAGACATAAATGGTATACACACACATAGGCATAAATTTTTTGCAACCTACGTTTGTTTGTTTGTTTGTTTGTTTGTTTGTTTTTTGAGACAGGGTTTCTCTATGTACCCCTGGCTGTCCTGGAACTCACTCTGTAGACCAGGCTGGCCTCGATAGAACTCAAAAATCCACCTGCCTCTGCCTCCCAAGCGCTGGGATTAAAGGCGAGTGCCACCACTGCCCAGTGCAACTTACTTTTTTAAAAAAAGATTTATTTATTTAATGCATATGAATACACTGCAGCTGTCTTCAGACACATCAGAAAAGGGCATCAGATCCCATGACAGATGGCTGTGAGCCACCATGTGGTTGCTGGGAATTGAACTTGGGACCTCTAGGAAGAGCAGCCAGTGCTCTTAACCACTGAGCCATCGCTCAAGCCCCAGAAAACATTCTTTCAAGTGTCTGCTTTAGCAAGACATTCTTTCACCTGTGTGGCCCAGCAAACCATCATTTGTCATAACTGACTTTTCGCTGGGCAGTGGTGGCACATACCTTTAATCCCAGCACTTGGGAGGCAGAGGCAGGCGGTCTACAGAGTGAGTTCCAGGACAAAAACCCAAAAAACAAAACAAAACAAAAAAACAAAAAAAACCCTGACTTTCCAAAGAAGCCAAAAATTTCCACTTTATACACACACACACACACACACACATATGCAAACACTCATACATGTAAAATTTTTAAATCTTTTTAAAAAGAAAGCACCCAATCATGGTGGCACACACATTTAATTCCAGCACTTGGGAGACAAAGGTACATGGATTTCTCTGTAAATCTGAGGCCAGCCTGATCTACATAGTTCCAGGATAGCCAGGGCTACATACAGAGATCCTGTCTCATTAAGCAAACCAAAAGAAAAAAGAAAAGAAAAACTTCTTTTATAAAAATCAGCCAACAAAACAAAACCTCATCAACCAGTGAAAGTATTTTTGCATTTAAAAAAAAACAAACAAACCCTGGAGGGATAAATACAAAATGGTGATAGCGTTTCTGTCTGGGTGTTCAATTTTAAAAAGAATTTGCTTGCTTATCAGCTTTTTAACATTTCAACACTGACATGTGTTATTTCCTGTATGATAATAACAAAATATATTTGAAGGGAGGTCTCATTTCCTGTGTCTGGCCAGCAGAAAAACCTGGGGCAGCGGAGGCTGGGAACAGTAAGAACTCTGCCTAGTGCCGGGAGGTGGGGCGTGCCTCACCCTCCCTGGCCCTTAGACTATTGGACAGGCAATGAGGCAGGGCCACCAACCCAGGCATCAAGTAGATCAGGCAGCAGGGATACCAGCATGTCCCCCATAGTTTCTGTGTGCTTGTCTTTTAGTGCTGGCTGCAGTCGGGGCCACCAGGAGCCAGCAAACACTGAGCTAGCTTCCAGGAGGTTAATTACAACTTTAGGTCTGAGATTCCAGCTACCAAGCTTCTCTCTCTCTCTCTCTCTCTCTCTCTCTCTCTCTCTCTCTCTCTCTCTCTCACCATCTGTCACTTTCCCTACAGCTATGCTTTGTGATAGAAATGTCAGTGAATCCCAGAGTCCCCCAGACAGGCAGTTGACTTTGGATCAGCTACCGAACCCATTATTTTTTTCCAGCTTATTGTATTTTTAATTATGTGTCTGTGTCTCTGTGTGAGTACATGCATGTGCATGTTGCTGTCTGAGACAGCCAGCGGTGTCAGATACCCCTCGCTGTAGTAACAGGTGGTTATGATCTACCTGACACAGGCTCCAGGAACCGGACTCAGTCCCCTGTAAGAGCAATGAGTGTGTGTGTGTGTGTGTTTGTGTTTTGAGACAAGATCTTATCATGTAGCCCTAGCTGTCCTGGGACTCACTTTGTATACCAGGCTGGCCTCAAATTCAAAGAAATTCACCTGCCTCTTCCTCCCAAGTGCTGGAATCAAAATGTGTGCACCAAAACACTCATTGCTGTTTTGTTATTTTGAGACATACTCTCTTTATGTAGCCCTGGCTGTCCTGGAGCTCACTATGTAGACCAGGCTTACCTTGAACTCACAGCCTCTGCCTCCCAAGTTCTGGCATTGAAAATGTGTCCCACTACGCCTGTCTCCTCTTTTTTTTTTTTTTTGGTTTTTCAAGACAGAGTTTCTCTGTGTAGCCCTGGCTGTCCTGGAACTCACTCTGTAGACCAGGCTGGCCTCGAACTCAGAATCCGCCTGCCTCTGCCTCCCAAGTGCTGGGATTAAAGGATTAAAGGCGTGTGCCACCAACACCCGGCTTCTTCTTCCTCTTCTTCTTCTTCTTCTTCTTCTTCTTCTTCTTCTTCTTCTTCTTCTTCTTCTTCTTCTTCTCTTAAGTGAAGATTTGCTTGGTAAATTTATCTCTCTTTCTTTGTCTCGATGTCTGTTTTTCTGTGGTGTGTGTGTGTGTGTGTGAGTTCTCTTCTTCTACCAAGCAGGTTCCAGGAGGTTGTGAGTCTTGGCAGCAAGCACCTTGTTGTGCACTGAGCCTTCTCGTCAGCCCATGCTAAATTCTTTGGTGGTCCTTCATTAAAACAGAGCTGTAGGCCGGGCAGTGGGGACGCATGCCTTTAATCCCAAAACTTGGGAGGCAGATACAGGTGGATTTCTGAGTTCAAGGCCAGCCTGGTCTACAGAGTGAGTTCCAGGACAGCCAGGGCTACACAGAGAAACCCTGTCTCAAAAAACCAAAACAAAAAAAACGGGAGCTGTAGAACATACCCACAGGTTAGTGCTGTCCAACATCTGCCTAGAGTGTTGGAGGAATAAGTGAGTGGACACTGTGACATCAAGGCAACAAGTCTGACTGGGGGGACTTGGGAAAAGCCCAAAGGGCAGTGACCCCAAAGTGATCCCTTTTTGGGGAGTCCAGGGGTCCCTGTGGACATTACTGGTTCTTTGTGGGGCTGGGGATCTGCTTTGAGCCTTACCCTTTGGATTTCTCATTCTCTGCTCACGTTAAGTGCTGAGTGGCCAGGAAGTCGAGGGTCTGACCCAGAATGGAAGAATCCCAGGGAACCCCAGGCTCTAGGATGACCATGAGTCCCTGTGAACAGAAAGCCACAACTACACTCCCGCAAAGCAATAGTTGAACTACAGGTGGGTTCTCCCAACCCTGTAGTACTGAGAAGCCCGGGGGTACCAAAGCTGGACTAGCCCTGATTGGGGCCAGCTTTGGAGAAGGATGGTCTGGAACAGCCCCGGAAGCAGGAAGGTGATAGGTAAGCCTCAGGAAACGGTTTCCTGAAGCCCACAAGCAGAAGAGTGGCTAATGGGATGGGTATGTCCTTGGTCCAAGCTGGCGGAGAAGGTGTTGTCCCCACAATACCCTATCACCTTCCCACTTCAGTTAAAGCTACACTGTCTCTCACACTGACCTCTCACCACCCAGCCTCGGTGTTGACATCCTTTTGACCTCAGAATCTTCTGGAGTCTTGTTTGTTGGTGCTGAACACACCACACGACACCCCCACAGGCACATACACCCCGTCCTGTACTCTGGATCTCCTACTCCCTTCACCTCAATCTCCGCCCCAGCCGTGGCTTTTAGTCCGGTTTCTGCCCTATATTTAGGCAGAAATTGGCCAAGAGAATGGGCTGGGGGGTGATGGCTGTCGTCGCCAACACCTCCTCTTCCGAGTACCTTTCTCTGGGAGGGAGAGGGAGGGTACGAGAAGGAGGGGTAGTGAAGCTTCCCTTCCACCTGGGGGAACGGTTGTGGACGCGCCCGGTACGAGTGGCCCGGAGAGAACACTCCTAGTCCCTCTCTGACCCTCAGCCACAGGCCAGAGATTGGTGAGGAGCTCTCCTTGCCTATCCCTGGTCTGCAAATTCTGAGAAACAGGGACATCCTTCCTGCCGCCAGCTCGCCCCGGGCGAACACTGAGCTCCCACTAAGTTGCTCGTTGACTTAGGTGACAACTCCAAGAGGGACACAGGGCTTTGGTGCGATTCTGGGGTGCCTTGAGGCTGTCTGGACGAAGCAAACCCGGTGCCTAGGTTGGAGCAGTGCAGAGCCTCCAGAACCTTTGAGCCCTCTAGAGACACCACAATCCCACAGCTTGCGTGCAACCCAGACCCTATCTCTCAGCTCCAGTGACGGGACCGAAACCCCTCTCCGAGGGGCGGCTCTCCCGGGCTATCTGCTCCCTGCCAGGTCCCTGTGCTTTTCTCCGGTGGCCCCACCCCGGCCCCGCCCCTTCGCGGTCCCCTCCATCCCTTCCCCGCTGCATCGCCGCCCTCCAGCCCCCGCTCTGTGGCGGCCGCCCGAGACACGTGTGCCCGCGCCCGGCGGGCGTGCGGGGAAGCGCGGCCACGCCTGGTCCGGCCACCATTTCTCCGGCGCCCACCGGTTCGAGTGCGGAGCCTGAAGCATGAGCGGCGACTCGGAGCGCGCGGTGGCCCCGGGGGTGGTGCCTGCACCCTGCGCCTCGAAGGTGGAGCTGCGGCTGAGCTGCCGGCACCTGCTGGACCGGGACCCGCTGACCAAGTCCGACCCCAGCGTGGTGCTGCTGCAGCAGACACAGGGCCAGTGGCTACAGGTAGGGCGACCAGTGTGTCCTGGAGCTGGGCACCTGAAGACCTAAGTGTGAGTTGAGATTTTTGGGGTGCTGGCAAGGATGTTCCGAAACTGGGGATACCAGTGCAAAAGAGGAGGTGTCCACCTGCTGCCAGGAAGGGCAGGGCAAGAGCAGAGCAGCGGCAGAAAGGAACCTTGCTGGAAAGAGCCCAGAAGTGCGGCCGAGCCGGCCGAGGGTCTCAGCCTGGTGTCCTAGAGCAAGAGCGAAGAGCCCAGGCTAGACGAAGGAGCGCTGGAAGGAGTGCAGCTCAGGAGTGGGGACACTGCCTGAGGCAGGTATAGGGACTGTCTAAGGTCATAGGGTTCCCCCTCTATTGACTGCAGTAGCCATGAGCTTCTCGCTGGGGAAGCAGCGTGGCCAGTAGTGTCAGGGCTGCCAGCTACACATTGCTGGTTGGGTAGAATGGAGCTGGGCAGGGCTGGACAGGGACTCCATCGCTCAGATTTAAGACGGCCTGGTTAGAGGACTCTCCAGCCTACAACCTGTCTCCTCACTGCGACTTAGGAGAAATCGCAGATTGCATGCATTGTGGCTATGGTTAAGGACTGAAAGCCCCTCCTCGCTCCTTAATGCCCCCTGCCGTCCCAGATGTGAGTGCCTGCCTCCAGCATGGGGTTTTTCCACTGGCTACCCATAAACCTAGGGTAGCCAGGGTCTTCGGAAAGTGGGCTTCTCCGTAGTCACCAGTTCTCATTAGCCCCCAGAAGGGTACTGTCCGTGTTTTATAAGGGCTAGTATTTTCTATAGCCCGTGTTGTGGAGTATATAAACCACTTTCTCAGTTGCCAACTCCCATGGGACTGGCTTTATCTCAAGGGTGGGAAACAGGGGCTCAACTTAGTGAGGTCTAACAGGCATAAAAGACTTGAACCTGAGTCCCTACTCAAGCAGGAATGTCCCCTCACCCCCCAACAGCAGCTCTGAGCCACTGCTTGCCTTTGGCAGTCATGTGCAGGAAGGATTGGAGGAAAGCCAGGGAAGAGGTATCAGATAGATGCTGTGACTATCGTGGGGTATCCAGGGCACTGAGGATGTGCGGGGAATCCAGAGATTGAAGGAGAGGACATATCCTGGGGACCCCCCAATGGATGCGTGGCATCCCACATAATACCAACTCTGCTTCTCAGCGTATCTCTTAGATCTGGGTCTGAGAAATCCTGTGGTTCACTGCCCTAGTAGATAAAGGGCCTGCCCAAAAGCATGTGTTCATGACCCTAGAAGGTATTAAGGGGCTACTCTGCTGCAGGCTGTTTAAGGACCATCTTGTGACCCAGGTCCTCCCATAGTGTTGCCTGGCTTGATTGATGCCTGGTGCGTACATTCCTGGGACAAGACAGACAGACCCTTGTCTTGCATGCAGGAGTCTCCATGTTGAAGGGACTTGATAGTCTACTAGCTGAGATTTGTCACTGGTATACACTGGTATATGTTCTGAACGAGGGCGCTGAACTCAGTGAGAGAGACTGGTGAACCCAAGTCCCTTTACCAGGGAAATCCCTTTGCCACCAAGCTGAGTCCTGGGAGAAGGTCTCCACATCAGGCTTGCCTTGCCTAAGACTAGAATCTGATTCTCTCCTTGACATCCTGGTCCTTAGGCAGGACGCTGCTGGTCCCTGAGCCTCAGTGTTACCATCTGTAATGTGGACATAGGAAGGCAGTAGTGGGCACGAGATGAGAGAATGTGGAGAATCCGCAGCCTGTGTGGCCGGCTAGGGGAAGAGTGAGCTTTTATCCCAGGCATGCACGTGTCGCTGGTGTATGGTACGACCCTTCTGGGCGAGCAGCCCTGTATACGCAGGTGGGAACTGGGTCCCAGGGATGGAAAACAGGCTTGGAATGGTACAGGTGAGTGGGAGAGGGATGGCAGGAAGCCAGACCAATCTGTAGGGAGAGCCCACCCGTGGGGTTGGCTCACAGGACGGGGGCTTGTTGCAGGTGGACAGAACGGAGGTGGTGAAGAGCAGCCTGCATCCTGTGTTCTCCAAGGTCTTCACTATCGACTATTACTTTGAGGAAGTACAGAAGCTACGATTTGAGGTGTATGACACCCACGGGCCGAGTGGGCTGAGTTGCCAGGATGATGACTTCCTAGGGGGCATGGAGTGCACCCTGGGTCAAGTGAGTACCCGGGCATCTTGGACGGGAGGAGGGTACAAGCAGCTTCTGGGGCAGCGATGCTGCAGAGATGAGCCTCTGGCTCGCCCGCCTCCACCTCTTAAAAGCGCTCCTTTGTTTGAGGCAGCCCAAGCTGTCTTTGAAGTTGAGATCCTCCTGCCTCAGCCCTGAGTCTTGCTGTTGCAGCAGTGTACCAGCATGTCCGCCTTTCCTTACTAGCTGTTTTAGACAGTCTCCTTATGTAGCCCTGACTGACCTGTGTCTCATAGAGAGCCGTCTGCCTCTGCCTCCCAAGTGCTGCCATTAAAGGTGTGTGCCACCAACCCGGGCCCTTACCAATTTCTTTTTTGTTTGTTTGGTTGGTTGGTTGGTTGGTTTTTCCGAGACAGGGTTTCTCTGTGTAGCCCTGGCTGTCCTGGAACTCACTCTGTAGACCAGGCTGGCCTTGAACTCAGAAATCTGCCTGCCTCTGCCTCCCAAGTACTGGGATTAAAGGTGTGCGCCACCACTGCCCGGCTGCTCTTACCAGTTTTACTTCTTAATGACTTATTTATCTTATGTACAGGTGTTTTACATGCAACTACGTCTGGGTACCACATTTTTCCTGGGTCCTTGGAGATCAGAAGAGGGTATCAGAGACTCTGGAAGCAGAGTTACAGATAGTTATTAGCCTCTCTATGGGTGCTAGGAGACAAATCTGGGTCCTCTTGCAGGAGCAGCAAGTCTTCTTAACTGCTGAGCCGTGTCTTCGGCCCTCAGAGTTTTTGTTTGTTTGTTTTTTAAGAAGTATGTGTAAACACAGGACGTCATGTAGCTCAGGTTGCCCTTGAACCCCCTACGTAGCCAAGGATGATGTTAAATTTTGAATCCTCTTGCTTCCATATTTCAATTACTAAAACTGCAGGCATGAAACACTGTACCAGTTTTTGTTTTTTGTTTTTTGTTTTTTTCAAGACAGGGTTTCTCTGTGTAGTCCTAGCTGTCCTGGAATTCACGCTGTAACCCAGATCTGACTGCCTCTGCCTCCTGAGTGCTGGGATTACAGGTGTGTACCACCACTGCCAGGCTGTTTTAATATTTGTGAGCTGGGTTACATGCTCCTGTGTTCCCGTAGGCCTTTTCTAGCATGTCTACCCCTAGCCCCTTCTAGTCCTATCCAGAGTTGTGTTCTCACATGAGTGAATAAACATACAATGTTTCCTTAAAAATAGCCAGGTGGGTGCCGGGCAGTGGTGGCACATGCCTTTAATCCCAGCACTTGGGAGGCAGAGGCAGGCAGATTTCTGAGTTCAAGGCCAGCCTGGTCTACAGAGTGAGTTCCAGGACAGCCAGGGCTACACAGAGAAACCCTGTCTCGAAAAACAACAACAACAAAAAAATTGCCATGTGGGAATGTACCTCATTTGATAGAGTGCTTACCCATCATACATGAGGGCCCTGGATTTGCTGTCCCTTACACCACGTCAAAAGAAGTAGAGGCAGGAGGATCAGAAAGGAAGTCAAGGTTATCTGGAGTGGTGGTGCACACTTTTAATCCCAGCACTGGAGAGGCAGAGGCAGGCTGATCAATGTGAGTTCAAAGCCAGCCTGGTCTACAGAGTGAGCTTGGCCAGGGCTACATAGAGAGGTTCTACCTCAAAAAAACAAACTAAGGTTAGCTTCTGCTCTATGGTGAGTTTGGAACCAACCTGAATTAATGAGACAGTCTTTAAAGGAAAATAAAAAGAAGAAAGAACCTGGGAAATGGCTCACCGGGTAAGAGCTCTTGTTGCACAAACACGAGGACACAAGTTCAAATCTCCAGCACACTCACAAGCTTTGAGGGGTACAGACCAGGAATTTATTGGAGCTTTTTGGCCACTAGTCTAGCTCCAAGTTCTGTAAGGGACACTGAGTAAGAAAGAGAGTGAAAGACACCTGATGTCCTACTCCGGCCTTCACACACACAGCATGCACACACACATGTACACACACACACCCACTCCCTCCTACAAACTACATACTGTAGTACACGCCTGTGATTCTAATATTTGGGGGTTGAAGGCAGGAGGGTCAGGAGTTCAAGGCCGTCATCAGACACATATGAAATCTAAGACTTAAACCAATCTGAGTTACGTGAGATGCTGACTCAACATGAGGAAAAAAAACAACAATCAGCAAACAAAAAGAAAAAGAAAACCACAGCCAGCTGTAGTGGCTCCCACCTCTAATCCCGGCCTGCAGCAGACAGAGGGAGGAGGGCAGCTGCTCATTCCTCAGAAGCCTGGGCTGCATAGTAAGATCTGTCTTTAAAATCTCTTCTTCCCTCTCCCTCTCTCCCCACCCAGTCTCCCACTCCCACCCCCACACACTCTACACACTGTTCTGTCCGCACCTTGTGTTTGTCTCCTCATGAGCCTTTCCGCAGCAGCCTACAAGCCTTCCTGCGTCTGATGTGCACAGCTCAGTGGCAGCGTTTGCCTCTGACATCTTAGGTTCTGGGTTCTATCCCACACCAGGCCGCAGGCAGACTCCATGTTTTTCCCTGCGGCTGGGGTTGGGAGTGATGCATGGGGTTGACCATGAGAGTCCTAGGGGACTCCGCTGGCAGCTAGGAGCCATTGTCCTTGGCATTTCCTCCTCTGTTGCCCATGTGACAAACACTTCACTCTGCTCATGTGCTGGGCCACGTGGTCCAGCCTTCTCACCTGGCCACAGGATGTCCTTTACATTAAGGAATAGTTTGTAGATAACATGATGTGGCTGAGATGAACAGTTTCACGGGGCTGTCACCTGACGAGATGGGCATTTCTGTCACCCTGCAGGCTACCCTGTCTGGCCAGTCCTTTGGCTGTTTCTGTTTTTGAGCTTCCTGTATGGTAATCACATGGCCTGTTCTGGGTGTCTGGTTCTCCATTCCGACATCATGTGTGTGACTCATCTCCACTGCCTGGTCAGGGCTCCTTAGATCTTTTTGCCATCCCTACTTTATGTGACAGTGGCTGAGATGAAGGAGGGTACACGCCCTTCCAGGTTCCTACAGAAGATGGCACAGGTACAGACGCATGTGGACACAGTCACGGATGTCTTCACACGCATGCACACATACACCACAGTCCGGGCAGCACTGAGCTACATCTGCATATACAGGCATAGACATACATAGTCACATACAAGCTCTGTTCTTGACCACATCTGCATGTTGGCTCTGGAGTCAGCTTGGCCGACTGCTCAGGTGCCACGATCTGTAGCTGTTTTTACCATGCTCCCCCGGTGTCCGTCAGCTAGTAACAGATCTGAGTCAGCGGCCACCCCTGGATGTCAAGGTAGCAGCTACCATATAGGCCATGCTGGGCCCTCGAACACAGCATCTCCTCCACGGAGATGTGAAGGCCTTTTATTCAGACCAGAGCTCGCTGCCCAAAAGTGTTCACTCAATCTTGTCCCTTAGACTCTGTCCCCTACTGGACAGGTGATATGCCACGTGCAGCCTGGGTCTGTGTGACGTCGTCTCCCTCCTTAGGTTAGGAGTGCATTGCTCTATGGGTGAGCTATGTACCCAGTGGGACAGGCGAGGAAGAGAGGTCCGAGGCGGGAGACTAACTCTCCAGGAACTGAGCACTGGGGCCCATATCCTCATGGCCCTCTTTAAGCAGGCACCTGTGCAGAAAAGCCAGGTGTGAGCCTTCTGCCATCTTAGGGCCACTCTGACTCATTTGGGACAGGAGGGGTCCAGAGCTCAGAGCTATTTAGCCAGTCACCTTACAAGGCTTCTCATCCCGAGACCAACGAGTAGAATCAGGCCAGCTGTATACTGAGGTCCTGGCTAAGGGCTGATGGTTAATGTCCTAAGGCATCTGTTTCTGGTGCCCCTTGTGGTACGTGTGTACCCCACAGGCAGATGAGGGGAAGGCCCAAGAGTGATAGAAGTTGAGTCTCATGTTCAGACACCAGCAGAAAGGCCACTGGAGGCGAGGGGAGGTGGGGAGTCCAGGACAGCAGAAGATTGAGGCCAGGAGGCCGAGGGATGTCCTCTTTCTCTCTGAAGCTTGCCTAGCTTTCTTGGTTTCCAGATTGTGGCCCAGAAGAAAATGACACGCCCATTGCTATTGAGATTCGGCAGGAATGCTGGGAAATCCACCATCACGGTGAGGCGGCCCAGAGCTGCGGGGAAGGGTGTTTTGGGAGGAGGTGAGCAGGGAGGCCTCAGATGGACTGGAGCTGTGTAGCTGCCAGGAGAGACCAGAGCCCCCTCAAGACCAGTGGCAGCTGAGGCAGGGGGATGCTGTGTAGCTTTCAGGAGAGACCAGAGCCCCCTCAGGACCAGTGGCAGATGAGGCAGGGGGATGAGACCGATGGCCTGGAGCCCATGAGTTTCCTGTCACACACCAGGTGATAGCAGAGGACATTTCTGGGAACAACGGCTACGTGGAGCTCTCCTTCCAGGCCCGGAAACTGGATGACAAGGTAAGGCCAAGATCCCCTGCGTGCTGGCCTCCGAGCCTCCTGCAAGCTGACTCATGTGAAAGCCTAGCTCCTGCTCAGCACTGGCCTCTGAGCTTCAGAAAACAAGTGACGTGATAGTTGTACGAGGAGCCATTGGGGTGCCGCTGTCACAGTCCTGGTCACTACGTTTAATGTTAACTGTTACACAGTTATCACAGACATGGCTGCCACCCTCCCAGCTACACACACACATACGTACACGTGTACACACACATACACATATAGGCACACACATACACACATGCACACACACATACACAGACACGCACGCACGTGCATGCACACACACACATGGCACACACTGCCATATTCGGTAGAGAGCTTGGTTCAAATCACACCTTGGCATGTGACCATCAGACTGCCTCCAGCAGGGTACATACATATTTAATGACAGGGAGAGAGTCCCAAGGAGGACAGAGGTCACTGTCTTGAACTGGGACTGAGCCTGGTTCATTGGCTCCTCGCATGGGTCGGAAACTGACCGTGTGTAGGCACTCATCTTCCTTGAGATACTTAAGCTGGGACAAGCGAGGGTGGGTGAGGCGTGAACAGCTGTTTAGACAGGACTAGCAGGGTGAGGTCTGTGGAAACACACCTGGGGACAGGCTAAGGAAGTGTCCCCATAGGTGAAGCCAGTGAAGGCTCCAAATGGTGAGTCCTTACCAGTGCAGGCTCTCAGGGGGGGGGGTGGGGGGCTGTTTCCTTCTCACTTTATGCCTGGGTAACCGGGAGCCCTGGGGAGGGAGTGAATTCCTAACCTGCAAAGCATGAAGCTGGCAGGCATCCAGCCATAAGGGACGGAGCCTTTCTCCGGCCCACAGCTGGCTAGCCCCCTTGCCAGCACACCCTCTGCTGCCCCAGGACCTCTTCAGCAAGTCGGACCCCTTCCTAGAGCTGTATCGGGTCAATGATGACACGAGTGAGCAGCTGGTGTACAGGACAGAGGTGAGCTCACACTGCCTGACGATAGAGGGGCTTCAGGGATCAAATGAGGTGACGGGAAAAGGGCCCAGCATCCTCCCAGATGAGGGACAGGGAGATACCATGATCCTGTGGCTGGGGGGGGGGGGCTGTCTTTACTTCTAAGGCCCTGTACTCTCTTTCGATGGATGGCGCAGCTGGCTGGATTGGCTCTCTGTCCGCCCAAATTTAGCGTGGCAGCTTTGTTGTTACCCGGTCCTATTTTTAGGGCTACCTGCTTCCTCCAGCAGGGAAACAGGATTTTAGTTACAGCGGGGAGAGATTTCCCTTTTGAGACAAATTAATTTGAGTGAAAAGAATCTATTTAAGGAGAAAACAGCCCAGGTGGCTGGCGTGAGGCTGAAGCTATTAGGGTCGGGGTGGAGGGAGTGGAGACCGGGAGGGCCTGGGGTGTACCAGTTCTGTTAGGAGCCTGAAACAGGCCAAGTCTCCTGGTACCCAGTCTCCATGGGGCAGGATACAGGCTACCACCCAAGCGCTCCTGCACAGCTGAGACTCTGAGAGCCCTGTACCACAGCTAAGGGACCTTTGACCTAAGGATTCCAGAGCTCCCTGGGGCCCTAGCTCTCTTGGGGTTCCCACCCATGTCAGTCTTTTCTGGCCCACAGGTAGTGAAGAATAACCTTAACCCCGTGTGGGAACCCTTCAAGGTGTCCCTGAATTCACTCTGCAGCTGCGAGGAGACACGGCCTCTGAAGGTGGGGATGGAGTATGAGGAGGGCTGAAAATGGGGTCGGGGTTAGAGTGGGTGGGGGAAATTAGGGGCGTGGCCACGGGGCAGGGCCAGGGCAGGGGCGTGGTCATGGGGCGTGGTCATGGGGCAGGGCCAGGGCAGGTGTCCAGTTCCTCCAGACGGGCTGAGTATTTGGAGAGTGAGGGTCTGTGGCTAAGGGAAGAGCGAGGAGCAGCAATGATAAAATAAACGACAGCCTGCCCAGGGCTGGGAGGGCCTCAGGTCCTCCGAGGAACACCTCCACTGAGAGGCCTGGGCTCCCCAGTGCCTGGTCTGGGACTATGACTCTCGAGGAAAGCATGACTTCATCGGCGACTTTACCACCACCTTCGCAGAGATGCAGAAGGCCTTCGAGGAGGAGCAGGTGAGTTGCTGGCCCATCTCGGGCCACACAGGTTCTGACTTGTTCTAGTGGGTCTCTGGGAGGCTAGTCATTCTACCCCACCCCAGAGAAGGCACGAAGGTGACAAAGAGCAGTGACATCCACCATGTGGCCAGAACAGGGGCCTGCAAGCCAGTGACCGCGTGAGCAGCCATGCACTTCCGTGTGTCAAGGTGGGAGGGGTGCCCTTCTTGGGACCTGCCTAACCCTCTGTAGCTGAGGGGTGGGGGGGGAGAGTCTCCCTGGGTTCTTTCTTGGGCCCTGGTGTCCGCGAGGAAGACCTGCAGGCTCAGAATATGGCTGACCTATAGGCCAAGGCTGCAGCGTGTGCAGGGTCTAACCTCGGGCGTCTATCTTGCTCATACCCTCATGTACATGGCTGGTCTCTGTTCCACTGTGTGCTTGATTGTTCCCCTATGAAATGGGTATGTCCCCACAGAGGCCATTTCTGGCCATCCACGGGCAGCATGGGCCTTGTACGACGCACTGTTGGAGACAGTCTTGTGGAGTGTGAGGTCCCCAGCAGGACTGGGACATCCAGGGGTTCCTGCCCTTGTGGGGGAGGGGCCGGAGTACTGCTGCTCTGGATGGAGTTTCTGCCTGTCCTTGTCCCTGTCCCAGGCCCAGTGGGACTGTGTGAATGCCAAGTACAAACAGAAGAAGCGCAATTACAAGAATTCCGGCGTGGTGATCCTTTCAGACCTGAAGGTGAGCCTCGGTCCTGCCCAAAGCCCCTAGGGAGATGGGTTGGTGGGGTTAGCTTCTCCAAGTTAACAGATGATTCTCAAAGGTACAGTTCTGAGGTGCGGTGGGTTTCACTGTGGGGTCATGAAATACCTGGGAAGGGTGAGGGAGGTGGGGGTGGGGAAGACTCTCCCACAGACTTCAGTGCCTAGGGGAGAGATACCCAATAGGCTCCCTCCCCCACTGACACAGACCTGCTTTTCTGGATGGAGTAGCATGGGGTGGGGGATTCACAAGTGGCTTTGCCAACCGCATTGCCTGGAAGCTCCACAGGGTTCACTCCTTCCTGGATTACATCATGGGTGGCTGCCAGATCCACTGCACGGTGAGTCTGTGGGCCCCGCCCCGCGCCCCACGTGTTGCCCCCAGCCAACTGGGCAGGAGCGAACAGAGAGTGTCAGGTTCCTAGGTGCTGTCTGTTTTCATCTATATTTCCCCGTGTCTTTCCTTTATGCCGACGAAGGAAAAGATGCCAGGGTTCAAGACCAGTTCAGGGCCACCACCACCCCCAACAGCAGTGTCCAGGGCTTCCCTTCTACAAAATTATAGGGACAGGAGAAGAACAAAAAACACCTTAAAGAAGAAAACAGGAGTGAGCACTTAGCTAATGAGAACTGTAGAGTCCATCTGACTTAGCCCTGGGAAGATCAGAGAAGGTTGGGGGGGCAGGAGGCAGGCCATCACAGCCTCCGATACCTGTGATCACACACAGCTATGCTGGGCTGCTAAACTGAGAGCCACACCCAAGGTGGACTTGAGATGATGAGGTGGCAGGCACAGAGGGGACCATAGCAGTTAAGAGAGGAGTGTTTCAGCCGGGTGGTGGTGGCGCACGCCTTTAATCTCAGCACTTGGGAGGCAGACGCAGGTGGATTTCTGAGTTCGAGGCCAGCCTGGTCTACAGAGTGAGTTCCAGGACACCCAGGGCTACACAGAGAAACCCTGTCTTGAAAAACCAAAAAAAAAAAAAAGAGAGAGAGAGAGGAGTGTTTCCATGAGAGAGAGAGAGAGAGAGAGAGAGAGAGGAGTGTTTCCATGAGCCTGCTCCTCTGAGGGGAGTCTAGCTCAAACATTCTCCCCGAGGACAGGTTCACTGGCATCCTGGGATTCCAAGGGTGAGACTTATGGTCCCCAGGGTCTGGGGAACCCCTCATTTCCTAGGGTAGAGTGAATAGTTCCAGTGAACAGTCTAGCTTGCACAGAGCTGGGGAAGCTGAGATGCTAGGCTTTTGACATTAAGCTGGACTTGGGTATCTTGTGGCTGTCCAGTGTGTGTTTGTGTGTGTGTTTGTGTGTTTGTGTGTCTGTGTGTTTGTCTCTGTTTGTGTGTGTGTTAGTGTGTGTGTGTGTTTGTCTGTTTGTGTGTGTTTGTGTGTGTGTGTCTGTGTGTTTGTCTGTGTTTGTGTGTGTTTGTGTGTGTTTGTCTGTGTGTCTGTGTTTGTGTGTCTGTGTTTGTGTATTTGTGTGTGTGTGTGTCTGTGTGTGTGTGTCTGTGTGTGTGTGTGTGTGAGAGAGAGAGAGAGAGAGAGAGAGAGAGAGAGAGCGCACAGGTGCGCAGTGAAGTCCATCCTCCTGGCCCCTGCAGGTAGCCATCGACTTCACAGCCTCTAATGGTGACCCGAGGAACAGCTGTTCTCTCCACCACATCAACCCGTACCAGCCCAACGAGTACCTGAGGGCGCTGGTGGCAGTGGGCGAGGTCTGCCAGGATTATGACAGGTGTGGCCCCACCCGTCTCTCTGGGCCAAGTTGGGCTTGGGGGCTCTTCTGAAGTGGTGCTATGATTGACACCTGATGTGCGGGAGAATGAGCTCAAGCAAGAAGGGGAAGAGCATCTTCCCAGTGATCCCACAGGGAGAGCATCTTCACAGCGATCCCACAGGGAGAACATCTTTCCAGTGGTCCCGCAGAGGCAGACAGTAGACCCAGTAGACAGGCAGCTCAACTGAGCTTGGGTACAGACCCTTCAGGGGATGGGCGAGGGATGGGTTATGTCTCTAACATGGCCACATACCCTTTCACTGTGACCCAAACCTGAGCATAGGTTGGAAATAATTTTATAGGGCAGAAAAAAATGCAATCGTAGAGGTTGGGTGGATGACTGACTAGGAAGGGGCTGACGGCAAACCCAGATGGTCTGGATTCTGAGCTCCATACCACGACCCAGACCTCCATCCTGATCTCCCTGCCCATGGAACTCTCCCTCTCTATGGGAGAACAGAGAGTGTAGTGGGGCAAGGTAGGTGCCCACAACCCACAACCTTAGGTCAGGGTTCTTAAGTCCGGGAGCACCGGAAAGAACCGGAAGCAGCTCCCAGCCTTCTGGTGTCAACTCTACCGTTTCCTGCCTGTGCTGTGGACGGTCTCAGCTCACTTCCCTAGTTTCCCTCTGTGGCATGCCTGTAATCCCAACTTCTGACCCAGCAAGGCCCAGGCCTCCTAGTCTGTCTCCGGTGTCCGCTTGACTCACCTGGGGACCAGGTTCCAGGAGCCATCAGTTTTGCCTCTTTTCCAGTGACAAGCGCTTTTCTGCTTTGGGATTTGGAGCCCGGATCCCTCCCAAGTATGAGGTAGGAGAGCCCTAGGCTGGAACCTCTATCCTTACTTCCACCCTTCTGCACCCCAGGAAGGAGTGTATTGGGGTATAAGAACTCTGGTTGCCACCATTCCCTTTTGGGATGGGGGTGGAGGGAGGGGAGACCCTGGCCTCTGGGTCAGAGACTGACTGTTGGCCCCTTAGAACCATGATGTATGTTCTTACCAGAAAATGACAATTCAACTTCTTACATAGATGCTGGTAGGAGAGGGGAATTATTGGTTAATGTATCTTAGAAGTCGCAGTTACTATTGGATCCAGGCACTAAAGTAATTGCCCGACATTAGTTTGTGTGTCTGTCTGCCTCCTTCTTGGCTTCCTCTCTCCGCGGAGGTCTTTTTAAGTGAGCCTGAGAAGCAACAAATCAGCTTCTCCTAGTACGTGGGGCTCAAGTGTCCTGGGAAGGTCCTGTCTGACTCTTGTCCCCACCAGGTGTCCCACGACTTTGCCATCAATTTCAACCCCGAGGATGATGAGTGTGAAGGTAGGAGCTGGAGGTGGGTTTGGCATAGTGTTATATCGGGCCAGGCTCACCCCTCTGTTCCCTACAGGAATCCAGGGCGTGGTAGAGGCCTACCAGAACTGCCTGCCGAAGGTCCAGCTCTACGGCCCCACCAATGTGGCACCCATCATCTCTAAGGTGGCCCGCATGGCAGCAGCTGAGGAGCGCACGGGGGAGGCTTCTGTAGGTGACTGGGGACAGGGTCTGCATGCATCCAGCTGTGCCACCAGCTAACTGTGTGCGTAGTCGTGGTGAAGCGCTAGGGAAGAGTCCAAAGCAAAGGCAGCCAGGCAGTACAGGGTGGGATGAGGAAAGGGTTCAGGTCGGCAGCTGGTGGCTCCCTCAAAGCCCCCAGGCAGTCTGTTTTTAATTCAGGCAGAAGACTGAATGAATCACTTCAATGTCAGCCCTTGTCTATCCAGGGTGGACGCTGGTCTGCCTCAGTTTCCCCCCAGTCCCTCTGCACCCCTGCAGGCGTCACATAGCAGCTTTCTTTTAGGCATCCTCAGTGTGCACATTTACCTCAGGATTGTCTTCTGCTCTTTGTAGCAGGCCCCTGTGTGTTGCCGAGATGACGCAGCTGGCCTGCTGCTTTCTCTGAATTTTTCATTTTGAAAAAAAAAAATGTCGTATTTACAAGTGACCAGACTAGAGCATGACTTCTGGCCATCCACCAGGTCATAGTAGCTATTGGCTTTCTTCCTTTCCCTCTCCCTCCCCCATCCCTGGTCCCTTTTATCCTCTCCTCCTTCCCACCCCTCCTGCCTCCATCCCCTTCATGTATGTATGCATTAAGTGTCCTAAACTATTTAAGAGGCCATAGCTTAATGTCGCCTTCTCCTTAAATGTCCTTGTTGCTCATGTCTGCAGTGCGGGTCTTGTTACGTCACATGTCTGGCAGGGCACGGAAGGCAGCCCCTCCTGCCATCTAACCCTACCAGGTCTCTGCTCTTATCTGTCCCCAGATCCCCCCAGGAGTGGTCTGATTTAGACTTTGCTTGTCCTCTTCATCTTGGCCCACACAGACCCTCTTGTGACCCTTCAGACTCCACCTCGAACTACCAGAGTCTGGTCATGAGTAGTCCTGGTGCCCAAGAGCACTCTGAGGGGTGGGAGGAGAGTGCAGAGGGCAGCAGCTTTGTCTTCTGTAAGGGACTGTTACACACAGTAACAGTGGAGTCTTCTCTGGGCCTGGCTGTCAGGATTCCTTTGTACTCCAGGAAGGAAGAACTCCAACGGATTTCATCCTGGGTTCTAGGCAGTGCTGTCCAGAGTGGACAGATGTGGTGAACCTAGCCAGTTTGTCTTCTGATAAGTGCCTGCCTTTTTCAATAACTTTTATGCTTTTTGTTTTCCTTGGAAAAAAACTTTTTTTTTTTTAAAGAATTGAAGTCTCATAATGTTTTCCCAAAGTCAGGAAATTGCCAAGTGCTGCTTGTGGGGCTGCTAAGGGGCCAGCCGTGCAAGTCTGTTGCCCCGAGCTTGATTCCCAGAATCCACGTACAGGGAAAGGAGCAAGGCAGAAGAGTTGGACCCTTAAAAAATAAATAAATAAAAATAAAAATAAAATAATATAAACAAAATAAAATAATCGCTGGGCGGTGGTGGCACACGCCTTTAATCCCAGCACTTGGGAGGTGGATTTCTGAGTTCGAGAGTTCGAGGCTAGCCTGGTCTACAGAGTGAGTTCCAGGACAGCCAGGGCTACACAGAGAAACCCTATCTCGAAAAACAAAAACAAAAACAAAACCCTATCTTTAAATGCCCAGTTTGAGGACATTCTCGCATTTTGCAAATACCGTTTCAACTTCTTTTCTTACTTCGCAAGGAAACTCTATACCTGCTTGCTTATGTGATTTGACTGAATGGTGCTTTTACAAGTCTCAGTTCTATATACACACGCATTTTGTGTGTGAATGTGTGTGCACACACATGTATGTCTGAGACACACTCTTATTTATCTCAGGCTGACCTTAATCTTGCAGTTCTGCTGCTTCGGCCTCCTGGGTGCTGAAATTACAGTTAGTTTTATTTTTTATTTGTTTGTCTCTTTATTCATCAAGACAGAGTCTTGCTATATAGCCCTAGCTAGCCTGAAACTTTCTTTGGAGACTTGACTGGCCTCGGATTTGTAGCAATCCCTGTGTCTGCCTCCTGAGTGCTGGGAATTCAAGTGTGAGCCCCCACTGCTGGCTAACTTTGAGTGAATCCTCTGAGAGCAGATTGTAACTCTGACCCTCAGACATCAGCATCTGTGTCCTAAGATCAAGGACAGCCTCTTACAGCCCCCAAATCACTTCTTGTTACCATAGTATAAGCATTGCCTTCAGGAAATTCATTTTTACTTTGTGCTGGGGTGTTGAGCCCAGTTTTTACATGGTAAGCAAAAACATAAACTTTGTTGCCAGCTAGAAAAGTTTTGTTTTCTTTCTAGTGGGGCTTGTTTGTTTTGTTTGGTTGTGTGTTTTTGAGACAGGTCCACACTCTATATAGCCGAGGCTGGCCTGGGACTCACTATGTAGCCTAGGCTAGCCTCACACTTATAGCAGTTTTCCTGCCTCACCCTCTTGAAGGCTAGAATCACAGGCTCCAGCCCTCCCCCCCCCCACATAGTTACGTTTATGGTTTCTGTTATTATATGAGTGATTTGCCTGTGTGTTTGCAGAGGGTTGTGAGCTGCCATGTGGGCGCTGGGAATGAACCCAGGTCTTCTGTGCTCTTAACTGCTGATATTACACGTGTATGAATTTCTTGTATGGCTATACACTGTGTGCATGCAGTGCTCATACAGGCCAGAAGAGGGCGCTGTGTCTGCTGGAACTGGAGCTACAGATGGTTGGGAGCCACCATGTGGGTGCTGAGAATCAAACCCAGGTTCTCTGTAAGAGCAGTCAGTGCTTTTAACTGCTGAGCCCTCTGTTGTCTCTGTATGTACTCCTGGCTGGCCTGGAACTCAGGGATCAGCTTCCCTCTGCTTCCCTAGTGCTGGGATTAGGTGCACACGCACCACCACATCTAGCTAGGTATTGTTTTTGTTTTTTTTTAAAGATTTATTTATTTAATGTATATGAGCATCCTGTCGCTGACACACCAGAAGAGGGCATCAGATCCAATTACAGATGGTTGTGAGCCACCACGTGGCTGCTGGGAACTGAACTCATGACCTTTGGAAGAGCAGACTGTGCTCTTAACAGCTGAGCCATCTCTCCAGCCCCTTGGGTATTGTACTCTTGACAATGAGAATGGACTTCTGTTTGAAACACTTCCCACTCTTGTCGTTCTTGAAGCACCCTGGTGTCGGGGTGTTGGGGCCCTGTCCATGCAGGAGTCCTCCCTCTGGTATGAGACCTGGGTTCAAGCCCTGATTAGGTGGTCTTGTCTGTAAAGTGGAGTCTGCAGTCCCGTAATGGGTGGAGCAGGTTTACTCTGCATAGTGGCCATTTGTAATTTATGAGTATGATTGTCGCGAGTATTGTGTTGTGGTTCAACAAAAACAGCCTGGGCACTGCAGAGGGGCCCACAGCAGGCGATCCTCCAGGTGGGGGGACTGGAGCGGGGTGTGCTGTGTGTGACTTTGGGAGGACTCAGGGACCAGCACCCCCACTTCCTTCTGATGCCTCCAGCAATACTACATACTGCTGATCCTCACGGACGGTGTGGTGACGGATATGTCGGACACTCGAGAGGCCATCGTGCGCGCCTCCCACCTGCCCATGTCCGTCATCATCGTTGGGGTGGGCAACGCTGACTTCACGGATATGCAAATCTTAGACGGGGATGACGGAGTCCTGCGTTCCCCACGGGGCGAGCCTGCACTCCGAGACATCGTCCAGTTTGTGCCCTTCCGTGAGCTCAAGAATGTAAGTGGCTGGAACGGGGACCGCATTGAGAGTTGGACTCTGGGGGGCAGGGCCCCACTGTTCCGCGCATGCGTGGCTTCCTTGCTCAGGATAACCCACACTTCTTATGTCAGGCAGAAGAGTAGGCCCTGGGGATGGCTCCTCTTCTATCCTGACGCCCACCTGAGCAGTGAACTTCTGACCCTAAAATCTATGATGGAGAGAGGGCATTGCGGGTTCTGTGGACCTGGCGCAGAGCTCCCCATGCCGACTCTCCAGTAAACATGTCACGTGGGCTCTCCCACACAGACATTGCAGGTTTTCTTTTTTTTTCTTTTCTTTTTTTTTGTTTTGTTTTTTTTGTTGTTGTTGTTTTGTTTTTTCGAGTCAGGGTTTCTCTGTGTAGCCCTGGCTGTCCTGGAACTCACTCTGTAGACCAGGCTAGCCTCGAACTCTTGAACTCAGAAATCCGCCTGCCTCTGCCTCCCAAGTGCTGGGATTAAGGTGTGTGCCACCACTGCCCGGCGACATTGCAGGTTTTCATGAGAGAGCATGACGGTGCACCTGCGCATGGTGACCCCACGTTAGTTACCTCCTGTCGTTTCCTGCTGTGCTGGGAGAGATGTCCCCAGCACAGATACTGGGGACAGTTGTAGGCACCTCCATCGGTTAACGCTAGGACAGTCTAGGGGCTCCGTGGTTGCATTTCCAGTCTGTGTCCTTAGTAGCTCAACTGAGTGCCAGGTCACATGTCCCTTAAGTAGATTTGAGTCTTGGGACTGTGACCCAGATAGGAGGATGAGGATACAGAAGTCCCTCAGAAGTAATCATGCTCTCTCTGAACCCAGGCATCCCCTGCGGCACTGGCCAAGTGTGTGTTGGCCGAGGTGCCAAAGCAGGTTGTGGAGTACTACAGTCACAAGGAACTGCCCCCTCGAAGCCTTGCCACCCAGACTGGAGAGGCTGGTGCCAGCTCAGCGCCATGAGGATGTCAGGGGAGGGGGCTCCGAGCAGAACTTTCATCTACAGCATCTCCTGTGCCCCCAGAGACCCCTCAGAAGCTTATCACCCAGTCCACTCCTGTGTTCTGCTGGCCTGGGTCAGTGGCCTGTTCCCCAAATTGAAGAGATCCAGGCCTTGTGGTGTGACGGAAATCAGCAGCTCCCCCATGTCTGGGCCTCCCTGCACCCAACAGGCTCGGAGCAGGGTATTCTGAAAGAACTGAAGCTACAAAGTTGCTCTTCCCCTTCTTGCTTGAGCGCACCTCTCCTCACATCAGGTGTCAACCATAGCACCACTTCAGAAGAGGCCCCAAGCCCAACTTGCCCCAGAGAGATGGATGGGACCATGCCTGTCATAATCCTGGCAGCTCAGCTATGGATATGGTGAAGGGGTGACCGACCTGGAGAATCTTGTCATTTGATCCTGTGGTGAGAGGCAGTACCCCAACTCTTGAGGACACCTATATCTAGGCACTTTGTCCCCATAGGTTTCTCTGTCCTATCTGGTGCCGCTCCAACCTGTGGCCATACCTGAGACCCTGGGGCCTGCGGGGTCTGTGGGAGGCAGCTCTGGGTATAATAAAGTCTCCCTCCTTCACACAGCCTTTCTTGCTTCAGGGGATCTGGTGTGAACGTCTCTGGAATCAGGTTCACCAGGTCACCCACACCAGGCAGGATTGTGGCCCTGGGCTTTAGGTAGTCCCCTCAGGAGGGGAAAATCAGCCCTAAAGTGACTTTGGCTTGCACCCAGGACTCACCATGTGCCACAAGCTGTCGGCTGAGGGCAGCTTCCACCTGTCTGAGTGGGGGTGGATTTTTAATTGAGATTTCCTCTCAATTATCTTGTCTGAGAAAAACAAATTGTCCCAACCCTGAATCAGACCCACCCACCTATCAATCTATCTATCCACTCTGGGACTATTTTTAGCTACTGATTCATCTCCTGTTAAGCCCGGATAATAGGCATCACCATGGTAACCTGGCTACGATTCCGGAAGGGCCGGTGGATGTTGGTCCCTTTGGGGACAGAGAGGACACTAGAGAAATCTGCCTTCCATAGATATATGGGAAAGGAGACACCAGTAGGGTGGGAGGTTGGGGGCCTAGGGTGTCAGTCAGGTCTGACCCAGTCTGCACAGTGCAAGAGACTGAGAGCTCTTAGGTTTGCCTGGGTTCTTCTCTGGTGAAGCCAAGGAGCCTGGGATCCCAGCAGCAGCAGGCAGAAGAGAATGGGGGGAGGTTTAAGCATGTAGGAGAGTCAGTGTGGCCGGGCAGTGGTGGCGCACGCCTTTAATCCCAGCACTTGGGAGGCAGAGGCAGGTGGATTTCTGAGTTCGAGGCTAGCCAGGGCTATACAGAGAAATCCTGTTTCAAAAGAGAGAGAGAGAGAGAGAGAGAGAGAGAGAGAGAGAGGTGAGAAAGGAATGGTCCTTCCAAGAGAACACAAAGCGAGGAGAACGTGAGATTCTCTCAGCACTTGAGGAACCTGGTCCAGAAGCATGTCCTAGACTCTCACCTCAAAGAAATCAGGGCTCAGATCAGTGGAGGGATTTGCCTGGGTCAGACACTGGTGGGGTGGGGCCGGTACATCCTTGATTGACCAAGTTCCTGTTTTCACCCCCTTTGCTACCTTAAAGCATGGACCACATGATCTTGTGAAACAAACCCAAGGAGGCAGATAGGATGTGTTCCCAGATACTCGGGGAGTCTTCTAACCTAAGTTGGAGCCTCAATCTTGATCATAAAGCATGGGAATGACCCTAGGGTTTTGGGTGAAGAATTTCCAAGTTGCCCGAACTAGGTGTCCTAGAGTGGCCAAGGGCCCCACAGCCCACCCTACTGGGACTGACCCTGGAGGTTGACTCAAGCATACTATGGGAGCAGCCTTCTCCACAGGCTCTGCAGGATTGGAGGCATTGGTTGATTAGCCTAACTGGCTTCTAACACCTGTGGAATTTTAACAGCTTTTGGCCTGAGATGGGGCTTCTCCGTCTGGGCCGGGGGTGGGGGTGGGGGGTCTAATCCTTGTTCCTTGTCTGCCAGAGACGAGCATGGCTGTTTAACAGGGCTTTGAGGGTACCATTGAGAGGTAGGCTTACATTCTGTCTTTTTGAACTTGGGTAGACTTGGGGTCCAATGTAACTTCTCCAGCTGGGTCATTAAAGTATCAAGGGCTAAGCGGTTCCAGAACTCAGAAAGTGGATGTGTCCGATTTCTGTAAGTTCAAGGTCAGCCCGGTCTACATAGTAAATTCTAGGCTAGCTAAAGCTATGTAATGAGGCCCTGTTTGAAAAAACAAAACAAATGTTGGGTGGTGGTGGTGCACACCATTAATCCTGGTACTCAGGAGGTAGAGGCAGGCAGATCTCTTGAGTTCAAGGCCAGCCTGGTCCAGAGATTGAGTTACAGGACAGCCAGAGCTACACAGAGAACCTCTGTCCTGGAAAAAAAAACCTACAAATGCCATGTACTGTCCTGCTCAGTTGAAATACTGGCCCCTAGGAGGCCACCATGACAGGAGTGGCCCATGGCCAGGGTTGTGAGAATAAGCTCACAGCCCCAGTGGGCTTCCATCCTGCAGTAAAGGCTAAATGTCTGAATGACCTCAGGGTACCCTTGTGGACCCCCTCTCTCAGTTAGCTAAGACCCAGCCCTGGCTGATGCCACTGTTCAGAGAGGAGAGACTTCAGGCAGAGCCACATAGCTGCTTTATTGAATTGATTGACAGGATCCATATTTCTCATGCCCCGAGCACCGCGCCTCAGTGTGGTCTGCCATGCACTCTGACATAACACACAAAGCCTTTTGTAGGAGGCAGGATGGGTGGCGGTGTTCAGTCCGATTTGGGGTACCAGTTTCTTAGTCCAAGGGGACAGCCAGCTTCCAAAGGTCCATCCTCTGTCTTCTAAATGTGTTCCCACCTCACTGTCCCTCCCCTAGAGCCCCCTGGGCCTCGGAGGCCTTGCTGGATTAGTGCCCATCCTGTTCCTCATCCGAGCTAGGCCGGGATGGAGGGGGTGGGAAGTCCTAGCTCCATCAAGGCTGTTCTTTCTCCTGCTGCTGAGAGGAAGTGCGAGCAGGAACCTGTGACTAAGTGCCTGTAATTGGTGTGGGGGCTGAAAAGCTGTCAGACAAGCCCCACACAGTCCGGCCAATCACACACAAGCTGTGAGTGAAGCTGTCTCACCGACATCTGCCCCTTGCCTGTCCTTCTGCCTGTGGATGCCCCTTACTGGTGGGCAATCAGCCGGCCCTAGGGGTATGTCCTCCCTGCTCCCTCTCCTCTCTCTTCTTCCCCCCCACCCCCCCTCACCAGATCTAGTGCCTGTACATGGTGGAATAGCCCTCCCTCCTCAGAGCTCCCTAAGCATTTGCTTAAACATTGCTCGCTGTGTTGAGCGCTCACAACAGCCCCACGTGACGGCCTACTGTGAGTGCAAGCATTTCATGGAAGGGGGGGCTGAACTCAGAGAAATGAAGTCCTTTAGCTAGGAGTACACAGCGGAGTCTTGAGCTGGGCCTTCCATGCTTGACTCCCAGGCTGCAAAGCCTAGAGCCTTTGTTATATATGCATGCGTGTTTAGGCATGTGTCTGTGCATATGCAAATATGTGCATGTTGTGTGTGTGTTACCATGTGTCTGAGCCTGCATGTGTGCCTTTGGGAAGGGCTGCCCTCCTCTATCGCTTTAACTACTGAAGCCTCTTTCAAGATTCTCCCAGTCACACTGGGCCTTGGTCTACTCTATGGGGTTTTACCCAACAATGGCATCCAGACTTAGAGAGGTTACTTGCAGGGTCTAGGTGAAGCCTGTATCTCTCTTGAGCAGGTACGCCATTGTGATCAGTTTACAAATGAGCATTGGAGCTTGAAGGCTAGTGCAAGAGAGAGCTACGCCCCTTGTCACACGCAGGAAAATTCAGACATTAGGTGGGTGTGTGGACTTTGTCCTGGGTAGCCTCAACCATAGAAGGTTCCCTTTTACAAGTTATAAGAGAGAATCCCAGCCACAGGAAGTGGGTAAGAAGCCCTCTGCCCGGGGTGCTAGGAGTTACATGCCCTTTTAGATTGTGGGTAGGGGAACTGATGGTCAAGGGCCAGTGGACTAAATCCTCTTAGAGTCACTTATGTTGCACAGAATATTCCTGAGAAACAGCCCTGGGCTAAAGGAGGGCCCTGTGAGGCAGCAGGGGATTTTCCCTTGCTCTGGGCTATCTTTGGGGACATCTACTTCAGCAACCAATTCAGGGACATGTCCTGAGACACCTCCAGAGCCAGCCTGTTCTCAGTGCTACTCTCTCAATGCCACAACCCTGACCCTGGCCAGGCCTGTGCCCTAGACGTCAAGGCAATCCTTGGTGGGATTTCAGGATGAGAGATACCAAGAAGATCTCAGTCATCATGTGAAAAAGAGGGAGAGAGACAGAGAGAGAGAGAGACAAAGAGAGAGAGAGAGAAAGAGAGAGAAAGAGAGAGACAGAGACACAGAGAGACAGAGATTGATAGAGACAGAGAGGCAGAGAGACAGAGAGAAACAAAGAGATAGAAAGAGACTGAGAGACAGAGACAGACAGACAGAGACAGACAGACAGAGACAGAGAGAGAGAGAGAGACAGAGAGAGAGAGAGACAAAGATCTTGCCCAGTATTCACAAAGCCCTCAATGTGATCTCAAGCACTCATAAAACCGAACATGGTGGCACATGCCTAGAATCCAAACACTCAGGAGGTGGGGAGAAGAGGATCAGGGGTCATGGGTCATCATTAGCTACAGAGTAAGTGGTCTGTACAAGACCTGACTCCAAACAAACAGTCTGATGTGGTGGGGCACCTGGGAGACAGAGGCAGATGGATCTCTGTGAGTGCAAGGTCAGCTTGGTCTACATAGGTCACCTAGTGCTACTTGGTGAGACCTTGTCTCAAAACAAGAAAAATCCAGGAGGCCCCAGTGGCCTGGAAGCACTGTACCTCGACAGCTGAGAAAGAAATGGAAGTCAAAGGCTTTGCTGCTGTGTTTGCAACCATTGTAAGTGACAACTATAATGAAGTCTGGGGATAGGGCTCCTGGCTGTGGCCATCCAAATGTCCTTTTAGTATGAGGACTTGGGTTGTTAAGAGCAACCCTGAAGGCAGGACAGACTGACAGACCCTCCTTGGAGCCCTCATGTAGTCATCTCTCTCTCTCTCTTTCTCTCTCTCTCTCCTCTCTCTCTTTTCTTTCCTTTTTCTTTTCTTTTTTCTTTTTTGAGGCAGGGTCTCTCTACATAGCTCTGGCTGTCCTGGAACTCACTATGCCGACTAGACTGGCTTCAAGCTCACTGCCTCTGCCTCCTGATGCTGGGATTAAAGGCGTGTGTCACCACACCCAGAAGTTGTGGAATCCTTGATAAGCATGTGTGAATTCCTGGCTTCAGTGTCCAGTGTGACAATTCAGCCTTCCTCCCCTCTGCAGGCCTGTGTGCTTGATGCCTCTCCCCACCCCCTTGGGCTCCTCTGACCCCTGGATACTGGAGTGGAGTCATCCTGGCCTCTTGGCTGGACAGCTAAGTCCCATGAAGATCTTCCTCCAAATTCTCACCCAAGAAAACAGAGAAACAGAGCTT